TTGGGTTATAAAAGAACTCAGGGGCCCTTACCATTAGGTGGGCTACAGAAACATGAAAAAGTGACATGTGGAATCAAAAGGTGTTGATATATGTAGGACCTACTTCAGTATTTTTAATCAATAAGGCCAGTGAACAGTACTTACCTTCAGATTTTACACATGCAGCTTTTGGTGTTTTGTAACAAATGAAGAAAATGTTTGTCATCACAGAAATGCAAAAGCACACTGATATGGTCGCCAGCCATTTAAAATGTATTTTCTCTAGAAACCAAAAGAGAAGAAAAAAAAAATGTCATTGCTTTTACAGAAGAAAATGCGTCATGAAATATTTTCCATTTTCATGAACAAATAAAATCAACGGTATAATTGAAAGCAATATAGATGATCATATTTAACCAATGTTATCATGTATTATAAACCAAGTCATACCAGGGTCCGCTTTGGTTCCATCTCCAAATAATATCTCTCCACATTTGGCCACTGCACAGTAGTAAGTCCCAACTTCAGAGGAGCTGATGTTCTTGGAGAAGTGATGCACACATCTCCTCTGAGCGTCAGCTTTCTGGTTACATTTATTAGCTCTGTTTCCATCAGAGTAGATGATGTGTGGATGAGATTCATCTGATGCAGCTCTGAACCAGAACACACTCAGATCTTCTGAACACGTCTGGTTCTGAGAGTCAGAGACGACTGAACACTGCAGGGTCTTTGAGTTTCCCGAACCTATTGGATCCATTTCTTCTGAATGCTGCACAACTGTGTAGTTTGTGGTTCTCTGGGTATTTCCTGCATAAATAAATTAAGATATGAAAGTAAAAGGTATGCAGAGAAACTGAAAACTGGAACGTTGTGTGAGGTCCACTGACTATTTCCTGATTGGTATGGGACACAATAAAAAGTGTCCCTAGTCAATTTGAACACATTGAAAAACACTGAAAAATATTTTTAACATCATAAATATATATGTAAAGTTATGAACAGTTATATCGTAAAATACTTAAAAACCTTGAACAAACGGACATAAATACCTTTCAGAGACAAATAAGTCCCACTCCAGGTAACAGCAGTATATTCAATGACGGCACAGTGATACATTCCCTCATCTTCTGTACTTGTCCTCAAAATGGTCAGAGTGCTATTCCTCTCATTGAATGCTGCCTTCACTTTTGAGGCAGAAAACCCGGCTCCATATACAGGATTTACATTTTTCCACAGCGTCACAATTGATTTGAGAGTGGCCCCTGCACTCTGCTTTGACCAGTGGACTTTTTGAATGCTAAACGTATCATCAGGGAGAGTGCACGCCACTGTCACATTGGCCCCGGCTTGTACTGAGATCACTGGAACGAGTGAATCTGTAGAAAAGAGACAGAAACGATTAGTGAAATTGACGGAAAAAATTAGAAACATTTCAAGTTAGGAATGAACCATTACAGATCACGCTGACATGTCTTTTTTTTAACACTCTTTTCAACACTTACAGCCGTGATGGAGTGGAAGAAGTGCAAGCCATAACAGAATCATCGTTACTCTGTCTTCTTTGGAAGACCAGCGTCTGAAGTGACAGAGGGAGGTGTGGTTTTCCTCAGCATCAAATTAACCTGATTGGTTATCTTAGAGTAAACTATCAAAGTGCATTTCCTGTCACAAAAAACTTTCATGCTTTGTAAATTGTTTAGTACCTAATTTCCAAACAATTTTATTTAGTCAGCTTGCATTAAATAAGACAAACAATGTCTCAAATATGCATACAGAATAAACACTTTATAGATGTCCAATTTCTGGCCCTCTAGTGTCCCTCTCTTTCAATCTCATGCCTGGGAGTGTAAGGGTTGTGCGCATATCTCCGCTGTTCCTAGTGTTGCTCTAATTTTGGCAGAATGTTTTCTTCCTAGAATCAGCTGGAGCCACTCTCTCAGTTTGGGGTTTGTGGTCCACCATCAATACCTCTGCTGCTTTCAATTCCTGCATCTTTTAAACTTTCTCCTTTAGTTTTGGATCATTTACAAATTTGTTGCGTTCCCTTTTTCTTGACATTGTACCACTTCGGTGTTCCTGCTTCTATTCTTTTTCTTTGGTTTGTCAACTATATCTTGGTTAACCATCTTTTACTTATCAGTCTGGATCTGTAAATCAAAAAGTATCTCAGCTCTGTCATGTATGGCCTGTGGAGGTAGAACAGCCTTTTTTCCTTATTAACAGGATTTCTCAATGGGACTCTTGTTCAGTCTGCATCCTCCCAGTTTCTTGTCATTCCGAGATGGTTCCTCCTCTTCCTCATCCCTTCCCCTGGGTTTCAGCAGCCTGACACACTCACCAGCACTTCATCAATGTATGGTATCTTCCTGATATACTCCCGGATATCCTGTTTCACCAGCACATTGAAAGGAAGTGCAACGTCACAACATTGTTGTGACTAATCTTGATAAAGAGTACAGGACATTGTGCTGTGCTCATTGTTTTTAAGTCATACTTTTCTGCAGTTTGAGGTTTTTCATAAATAATTGTGTTCAATTTGTGAATTGAACACTTCCAAAGATAGACACAGGTTTAACATTTTAAGGACTAATTGAACAACTCCAGCAGTTGATCAAACTAAAGTTACAGTGCTTGACCCTCACCTTTTCGCTCATCAAATATTAAACTTATTTTCAGCACTGTTCAGACTTAACAGCTTCTATAGTTGGTATAAGGGCGGAAAAATGGCCCACCACAGCTTTGGTCTGTGGGTGTTGCTGTTGAATATGGCTCTGCTTCTTTTTTTTCTCTTCAGAAACACAGAGAGCGCTCACAAAACAGCAACCATCACAGAACACATATGTTCAAAATAATCTATGTGATTACTTAGACGTAACCTAGGAACATCTTTTTAAATCGGCTTGACTGGGTCAACTGTTAATGTTAACATGTTCAAAGAATTATTCATTGTCTTTGTATTTAAAGAGTCTGGATAAAAAGAGGGAACTTAATGAGTTTATTTGGTAAAAGTTGAAGATTTATAGATATGATTTCCATCTCTCAGTGTAACTACCAGAGCTTCATAGCTTTTTAAAAACATTTTTATACCATAACCTACATTTGCCATAGAACCCCTTTGATATAACATATATATTACATATCCCAACATTGTGCGGTCCACAAAGTTGTCAATCACAACCCATCTGTGTGTTGTACTGATGAGTTGGGATCTGGAGAGATACTACGAGGGAGGCCTGAAAGCTGAACCATGACTGATTTTAAGTATAAGGACGGTTACATGGATTAATACATCATTAACCAGTGAAATGAAAATGAGTTCATTGTAAATATCTATTCATAAAACATCGGGACATGGGACTATTTCTCTACCTGTATAGTAAATCCAATCATTGTAATTGTTTAGCCTCTTGAGAGGCTTCTAACTTTAAAGGAGTAGATTTATTGACATCAAAAGAGAAAAAGAAAGAAAAGAGGGAAAGTATCATAACCATCTGTCAAATAATAATGAAAGGACGAAGGGCACAGGGTATTTAAGAATGTCAGAAACATTTTGAAAACTATAGTTTGGTCTTTGGTAGACACTTCAACATACCGACTAATGGCGCTTAAAACATTTTAATCCAATTTATGAAATGTTAGTTACCCTAACAAGCTATAACTGTCAAACAAAGAAAATACAATATTTAATTTTGAGTCTGTCAGTGCATTGACCTGAATCAGTTGTGTTGAAGCAGGAGAACATCTGAAAACCTAAAAACAAATCTGAATATTTCATTTCATTTCAGACCCAGTGATTTATCTCAAAA